TCCATTCCAACCCATCCTTTATCTTTCAAGGGGGTTCCTCTGGGAGGGGGAGAAATTGGATTTATAAGTGCTCCTTTACTAGCATAGAGGTAAAAAATTTTAAATGGGAACTGATGTCTCTGTTAGAAGACCCACATGAGGTTGCAGACCAATTAGACCAACGCTGTGGCCCCCAATGTTACATCTGGGCCAAGCTTATGTTCATCTTGAGTATTTTATTTCTGGGAGAGGAACAGGGAATGATTTGGAGAGCAGAGACAGTAGCTTAGGAATGCGAGCATCCAGCTGGACCTGAAGTTCTACCTGCTGGTGCAAAAATTTCCAAGTCAAGAGCCCCAATGAGGGGCTGGGGATGTGGCTCAAGCGGTAGTGCGCACGCCTGGCATGCGTGCGGCCCAGGTTCGATCCTCAGCACCACATACCAACAAGAATGTTGTGTCTGCCGAGAACTAGAAAATAAATATTGAAAATTCTCTCTCTCTCTCTCTCTCTCTCTCTCTCTCTCCCCTCTCTCTCTTAAAAAAAAAAAGAGCCCCAATGAGATAATAATAATAACAAAATAATACAAGGGCCATCTGAGAGATCTGATAGATTTAATTGTAAAAGAATTAAGGAAGACAGTCCCTTGATCCCAAAATACAGCCAAGGCTTTATTCACAACAAGGAAAAGATAAAGGACCAGCAGAATTTTTGCACAGATCAAATAAACAAAAGAGAAAATATTCTGGATTAGATGTTGGTGACCTCTTAGGGCAAGGAATGTTAAGACTATACTTTGTGACTAATGGCTGGCCTGACAGTGCTACAAAATTACTAGAAATTTGTAAGGATACAAGTTTAGAGGAATTGTTTGAGGAAACCCAAAAGGTGTATGTAAAGAGGGATGAAGAAAAACAGAAACCAGAGGCTAAAATTATGCTGGCTACCAGAACAAGTAACTCAAAAAAAAGCAGGCCCTAAAAACCAGGGGCAAAAGAGACCCCACTCAATATAGCCTAGGAGATAAGGAAAAGGAGGAAATAAATGCTATATCTGGGGAATAACCATTCCAGGCCTAGGAGTGGGAATGAAAATGGGAAAATCCCATATCTTCAAGTCTTCTTTTCCTGAAGAAATTCTTTAAATACCTGGGCTGTCTCTAATTTGACCCACAAGTGCACTCTGGTCTGATAGAGAGATTCCATGTTCTCTTTTACTAGAAGAACTACGGCTGTCTTTTTTTTTTTTTTTTTCAAAGTCTCCAACTTATTTGAGCTCACAGTTTTTATGGTGAGTCCATGTTCAGTCCTATGTGCCAAAATTAATATGTTTTGTTATAAATAGTCTTGTTTTGTCTGACTGGAGTTTTTAGTCCTTTATCTGATTTTCCTACTGTCCTTATTCAAAGGTCAATTATTCAATGAAAAGCTATAAAGTCTGTTTCCTGTTGGTTTTATATATATTTCTTTTTTAATATTTATTTTATAGTTTTCGGTGGACACAACATCTTTATTTTATTTTTACGTGGTACTGAGGTTTGAACCCAGCGCCCCCGCGCATGCCAGGCAAGCGCGCTAATGCTTGAGCCATATCCCCAGCCCCGGTTTTATGTATATTTCTGCTCACCTCTGTATCATATATTGTGTTTACATGTTTTTGTCTGCATATCATTTACATAGTACCAAAATAGATATAGATAAAAGAGAGATCATATTTTTTAAAAAAAATGGACCTAAATGTCTCTTAGTTCACATGACTTAAACCTTTAAGAAAAAATTCAATTTAAATTATGTAAATACATAAAAATAAAGATGGCTTTTAAATTACTAACTCACATGTTTTTCTAGGTGTACAGCCAATCAAGAAAATATTAGTTTCTATAAATGTTATAAAAGTGCAATGTCCATTGCTTTTAAGGATTTTTCTTTGGCAGGAAACGCTTGGGAGGCTGAGACAGGAGGTTCACAAGTTCAAAGCCAGCCTTAGCAAAAAGCAAGGCACAAAACAACTCAGTGAGACCCTGTCTCTAAACAAAATACAAAAATAGGACTGGGGATGTGCCTCAGTGGTTGAGTGCCTCTGAGTTGAAGCCCCGGTACCACCCCCACCAAAAAAAAAAAAAATAGTGTTAGCTAGACTTTTCTGATACCTTGAGTTTTCATGGGTAACCTAATTAAAAATGTGTAAATAAGTTTTAACATAATTGGGATAAACATTTATAAATGTGTTCATTAGAGGAGATATCTGATTAATTTTCAAAGTTAAAATACTAAAAATAGTAATTGCTAAATATAAACTCAAGTATTCTTGGCTTCTTGAGGGCTATATGACAATATATTTGGGCCTATTAAATGTGTTTTTTTAAGTTGCTGAAAAATGGGAAAACAATTTAAGACTACTTTGTTTCTGGGTCTTCACTGAAAGCAAGATTACTAAGTTAAAATTCTAACAGGTATAATTCTATATGCAAACAGTACAAAAGTGTCAGGTATATTTTTAAATATTGTGAAACAAAGTATTTCATCTTATTAAAAAGGAATAATTTGTCTAAATTCAGAAATCTCATAAGGATTGTTTCAGAATGTAAATTTAAGAAAGGGTCTGAAATTAGAAAAGAGATATAAGAAAGTTATAAGTGTTACTGACAGGAGCCGGGATCAGGTTCATGTTCTAGAGAGTCAAAGAATGAACATCATGATTGCCACCAAGGTAAGTAAGCAGGAATTTTATCAAAAAAGGAAGGTGAGAGGAAGATTCACAACTCTCATTGCAGTGCATCTGGGAAAGGGGAGAGTGCCATTTGAGTCTTACAGACCTCCCTCCTCCTTTTAAAGGCACACAAGGAGAAGCTCCTCTTGATTGATTTTTTTGCACAATCTGCAAAGTGGAGGGTCACTAGAGAAGGAAATCTCCCTGATACTTCCAAGGGAAGCAACATGTGGTCAGCAAGATTTTGACCCATTCTGGCAGATGGCACTACTTATACAGGAAAAGATAAAGGGACCAAGAGGCTCACAGGTTCCCAAGAGTGAACCCTGAGGAATTTCAGCTGATCCTTAGAGTAGATAAGAGAAAGGTCAATTTTGACTCACTTGGTTTTAAATACCTGGCAGGAGAGTATAACCAAAGCACAGCCATACATGGATATTAAAAAAAAAAAAGACAATGTTCCTTTAGTGTAACTTGAGATGTACACTTGTGACAGTATTCCCTAAAGTAAGTAAAACTAGAAGGTTATAAAGAGGAAGGGCTTTTAGACAGGAGTGCCTGATAAAATCCCAAAGAGCTGTCAGAGTCACAAGTTTGTTCTGAGTCAATCTGAGACTACAGATCTTTCTAGCCTCTTACATAGGTGAACTTTACCTGTTGTTTGTTTGTTTGTTTGTTTCTGGTATGATTATTATGTGCTGCAATATAGGCTCCCTTGCCTCAGAAAAAAATTGCAGACTTCCCTACTATGGGAACTAAAGGCCAGTTTCTGAGAAAATATATACCAGCCATATCCTCCAGTTTATCATCCCTCAGGTTAAAGGGACTTCTTGTTTACACTCCTCCTCTGGAGTTCACAATTCATCACTTTCAGGCTGATAACTTGATTTTATTCAAGACCTGGAAAGAGGGACTGGGATGTGGCTCAAGCGGTAGCACCCTCCCCTGGCATGGGTGCGGCCCGGGTTCGATCCTCAGCACCACACAAACAAAGATGTTGTGTCTGCCGAAAACTAAAATGTAAATAAAATATTTTTTTAAAAAAGACCTGGAAAGAAGACAAGCTTCAACCTAGCTGCAAAGGACCTTACCAGGTGTTCCTGATTACCAGGATGACTATCCAAATTGCTAAAAACGGGAGAACTCATTTCCATGGGCGGTTTCATCCCCAAAAGTTAATATGTCTAGGATGGAGGGCAATACCAAAGGCTACACCCCAAGGTATAAAAAGAAAAGGAGGAGTGTTTGTGAGAAATAGAAAGCCTGGTCGTCCATTTTCAGAATAGAGTATTTAATCTTAAATGTAAAATTGGGTTGCAAGATCCAATAGCCATTTTGAGCTTCCCAACCTGTATCTAATCATAGAAGGGGTCATTTTAACTATAGACCTTCCCCAATTTTAAAAGTAGCCAATTGCATAGACTGTAACCCCAAACTACTCCTGTCAGAGCAAGGGGTAGTGCTGCATGAGGGATAAAAGCAGGCACACCACCCAAGTGTGCTTGCTTGCCAGACTTTGTTTGGTAGCGCACCCTCTGCAGAAGTAAAGTTTGCCTTGCTGAGTAACTTTTGAGCACAGGCCTGATTTATTGAGGCATCCCAATATTTCTAACATCAGGTAATCAGAAATAAGGGAGGATAGAGTGGCTTTCTAGCCAGACACCAGCCATGATGGGGAAGTCCATTGAATGAGAGAAATCTCTGTGCATCCTTAAGATGACCAGGTCTAAATTTTCTCCAAGCTTACTTCCAAGAACAAAAGGGAAATATCATCTGTTTCCAGTAAACAGGAAAGACTTCAGTGTTTTATAATAAGAATTTGAATGATCCATTTTTCTAAAAGGAAGGTGACAGCATTCTTTCACATTTTTTTTTTTTTACATTTGTGAACAAAATGCAATGCTTTTGCTCAGTGGACAAATACTGAAGGCAAGTGTATAAACAGATACAGGAGTGAATAGATGATGCAGCATTTTAAAGATGAGTGGATCATTGTAATGGGTGCTGTAAATTAAAAAAAAAAAAAGGAAAATGTTCTGCAACCATGCAGTAAAGAAAATAACTGCTTTCTTAAAAAAAAAAAAAAATCACATCAACAATTCCGAAAGGGACCAGGCATAATGGCACATACCTACACTCACAGCAACCTGGGAGGCTGAGGCAGGAGGATTACAAATTTGAGGCTAACTTCAGCAACTAAGCAAGATCCTTTCTGAAAATAAAATTTAAAATGAGGCTAAGGAGGTAGCTCAGTAGTATAGCATCCTGGGTTCAATCCTCAGTAATGTAAAATATTTTGTTTGTTTTTACAGTTTCTTCAAATATTACATCTTGACAATGCCAATGCAAAGAGGAAGAGAAGCAATAGCATTCTGGGCCCACAAGGGGTGCATTGGAGACAGGCGAGTGGCAAGTGGCTGCTGGCATTCTAAGGATGTAGGCATACATACCTTTCAAAGTCATAAATGTGAAAGAAAAAGATGTCTGATGGAGTTGGTTGTTGTAGTTCCTTTATTCTTATGCAATTATTTCTAAAATGACTTAAACATAAGAAAACATAAAGGGTCCTTCGCACCCAGATGGCCTGGGTGGTGCTGAGTTGGGATGTTCTACCATTCATGCTGCAAGGCCTAACAGCACTGCATCTACTTATAAAGAACTGCTCTCTTTTTTGAGATGTCTTTAGTTGGCTTACACTCCAAAACCAAAGTGTTGGAGGGCAGCTCAATGGCACAAGCCAGGCCAAGTGAGGATGGCTGTGGAAACCAAATGACTCAATGGGAGGGCTCCTTTTGCTCTGCTCCTGTGAATGTCACACATTTCCATAATAAGAAGTTTCCTTTTAAAAAACAAACAGGAGGGCTCCAGTGGGAATGCCAGCAGCTTGGGAGCTGAGACAGGAGGATCAAAACCAGCCTCAGCAATTTAGCAAGGCCCTAAGCAATTTAGCAAAACTTTGTCTCTAAATAAAAATTTTAAAAAGGGCTGGGGATGTGGGTCAGTAGTTGAGTGCCCCGAGTTCAATCTCCAGTTACATCCCCCAAGAAAAAAAAAAAAGCAGGATAATTTTCAACAATGGGAGTATCACTCTATACAACATGGGGGGCAAACAGCACCCCAAGTCAGGTCCCAGTACAGAACAGTTCACCCCCACCTTGGGAATGGCAGAAGCACCCCATGTGTAAGGAGCTTGTTCTCATGTGCAGTCTCAAAGGGGGTCTCATTGCACTAGCCTTGACAAAGTCAATCTGAGGGCAGATAGAACCCCAGCTACTGGCCCTGAACTCAGGACTCCTGGGAGTGGGCATTCACTCCTAGGGTGGCACGGAAGGGGCTCCCAACAAAATGGCCAGGATCCTTGAAGTTAGAGTTCCACCAGTGCCATCATTTGGGTACTTCTGCCAGACACCTCCCCTCCCCAGGTAGAGGCAACAGAGAAGGTTGAAGGGACCAAGGCTGGTGTGTGCCCAAGAACTGCTTGGAAGACCAAGGGCATGGACTACCATGCAGGCCAGGGGAGCCAGTGCTGAGGGGGTCCTGGTGGCAGGGGTAAAATTTAGTCCCCACTCTGCCTGCTCTGCCAGGCCATGGTGGAAGTCCCCACAAATGGGATCCACAACTGAGCTCCACATTCAGGGTCCAAGAGACCAGTGGTCAGTCCCTGCATGTAGATACCCAGCTCTGGCCAGGATGCTGGGGGACTAATTGGCCAAAACCAGGCTGTCTCCTTGTTCAACTCTCCCCCAGAATGCCCCTCAAGTGTGTAAATGCTTTTGAAGCTGAGAGGTCTCTAAGTACAACAGGCTTTCTAGAGGGACCAGCTAGTCCGATTTTAGCCATGGAGACTCTGCATCCCAAGCAAAGCAGCAGTCTGCCTGAAGGCTCATTTGCCCTTCGCTCAAATAAGCAAGAGGGCTTGACCAAGAGATTCTTCCCAACTCAAAGATCTAAGACAGGTGGGGGAGACACCTGCACCCCCCACTCAGAGATATAGCTTCAGGCAGAGCTCCAATGAAGGTTTCTCAAACTCTTGAATGACTCACTCTAAGAATGTGTTTTACACTTTTGAGCTGCGCATGCATGTGTACACACACACACACACACACACACACACATGCTTGGGTATCAAAACACTATTTGGGGCTAGAATTGTAGCTCAGTAGCAGAGCACTTGCAAAGCATATGTGAGGCACTGGGTTCAATTCTCAGCACCACATAAATAAATAAAATACGGGTCCATTGACAACTTAAAAATACTGAAAAACAGGGCTGGGATTGTGGCTCAATGGTAGAGCGCTCACCTAGCACTGGTGGGACCGGGGTTCGATCCTCAGCACCACATAAAAATAAAGTCACTGTGTTGTGTCCATCTACACCTAAAAAATAAATTTAAAAAAAATACTAAAACACACACACACACACACACACACACACAAAATTTAAAGATAATCACAGCAGAGATCCTATCACCAGGAGCCAAAGGTACAGACTGGTGGCTTCTCCCATGAATGGGGCTGCTTTTCTGGAAGGAAGATGTCAGGGGTCCTTGAAGACCCCCACTTCCAGAGATTGGCAGGCCTCCTCCCCTAAGGTCAGTGGGAAAATGTAGAAAGCCAGAGTCAAGGGTCAGCCTCCATTCCTCGCCCAGGAAGGCACGCCAGGTGGAAAAGGCTTCAGTCAGGGAAAGGAGTTCTCAGGTCCTGAGCAAGCTCAAGATAGAAGACAAAGCTGCATATGGTGACCAGCTCACCTGTGCTACAGGTAGCTGCAGCTCCCACCCTGCAAACCTCAGTGATGCTTGGGAGAAGCCTCCTCACACACCCTGCTGCTATTCCCCACCGAGGTGCAATGCTCCAGCCATGCCACTCCCACAACCAAAGCAACAGTGTGGCAGAAAGCAGATGTCAAACATGAGCTCATGGCTTGATCCCTGCCCAGACTCCTGGCCCCCAGGGGTCACCCATTGCCCAGGCTGCCTGCTCCATTGAGCAAACACTCGGCTCATAAACAGCTGACCCAGATTCTCAGCTTGAACTAGGACGTTTCCCAGGCAGTCAAGGAAGTACTGGGATGAATTTAAATGCTGTTCAGAAGCAAAAGAGCTTGATGGCAAATCAGGCTGCTCTTCCACAGGTACATTGGTGCTGGTGCCATCAAAGCCCACAGCCTGCGGCAGGTAGGACACTGGGGCAACATGGTCTCTCTGAGCTCCAGGCTCTCATAGAACTGCTACAGAAAGATATGGCTTTCATCATTCTATGTTTTTTCCCAGACCTCATGACCTGATTTTTCATCCTCTCTCTTCAGGAGACTTGAATGAGGCAAAAGAATCACTTCCCATTTTTGACCCCAGCACCCATCAAATGGGGGCTTAACTCTCAAAGTAAAAGACAGAAAGCATGAAGGAACTAGAGACAGAGATGGCTGTTCCCCTGAATCTTTCATCAGTTGCCTTGAAGGTAGCAGCGGGTGGACAAGCCAAGGCCAGTAATGCCTGGGAATATGTGGTGGCCATAAGAATATACTTCCTCTACCCGCCACTCTAGGTAGGGTCCCAGCTACTGAACACTGACATTCATGCTTCCTAGGAGCTGCCCCCAGCCAGTGACCTAGAGCACCAAGGTTACTTACTCAGGCCATTCCAAAGAAACATTGGTTGGAGGATTCTAGATCTGTTCTGGCTCAAGGATTCACTAATGGCCTTGCCAGACATTCATCAGGCTGTGTGACCCTGATGACCCTGCCAACCTTCTCTCTTCTCTTGGAACCAGACCTGGTCTCCCTGGGAGCAACAGGCCCTGTCCTGCAGAGTTCCTTCAGGTTTTCTCATGTCCAGGGGTTTCTGTCTAGAGTTCATCCACCCAGGAAGTTCATTCAGACACACACACTCTAAGCCCTCCACACATGTGCACACCCTGAGAGAGTTGCTGATACCTGCAGAGAAGAGAGAGGAGAATTACCCAGACACTGCAGAGTAGGAGTGTTCCAAAACAAAAGTGACAACCTGGGCTGGGGCTGGGGCTCAGTGGTACAGCGCTTGCCTGGCATATGTGACTGGGTTCGATCCTCGGCACCACATCAAAAATTAAAATAAAGATATTTAGGGGCTGGGGATGTGGCTCAAGCGGTAGCGCGGTCGCCTGGCATTCGTGCGGCCCGGGTTCGATCCTCAGCACCACATACCAACAAAGATGTTGTGTCTGCCGAGAACTAAAAAATAAATATAAAAAAAAAGATATTTAAAAATCATACAAAGGGCTGGGATTGTGGCTCAGCAGTAGAGCGTTCGCCTACCACATGCGAAGCCTTGGGTTTGATCCTCAGTACCACATAAAAATAAATAAATAAATAGGGGTATTATGTCCAACTACAACTAAAAAATAAATATTTTTTTGAAAAAATCATATAAGGGCTGGGGTTGTAGCTCAGTGGTAGAGTGCTTGCCTCACATGCGAGAGGCCCTGGGTTGGATCCTCAGCACCACATAAAAATAAATAAATAAAAATAAATATATTGTGTCCATCTACAACTAAAAAATAACAAAAAATTTAAATAATACAATACTTATAAAAAAGTGACAACCTGTGTTATGGATCTGACCAGACACAGAAATATTAGAACAAATGACCAACAGTTTGAAGTTAGCCTACTAAACATAGCTAATGAGATAAAGGAAATATTAGAAATATAAAATAATAGGAAAGCATTAAGATGAAAAAACCAAGCAGAAAGTTCAACAATGAAAAGCATAGCTGGAAGTTAAGAACACAATAAATGAAAAAAAAGCAGATTGGACACAGCTGAGGAGCAGATCAGCAAATCAGAAGACCCAATGGAGGAAATTTCCTAGAAGAAGAGTAGGACAAAGAAACAGAAAACAAATGCTAGGGCTGGGCTGTGGCTCATTGGTAGAGCACCTGCCTAGCATGGGTGAGCCCTGGGTTTGATCCTCAGCACTGCATTAAAAAAATAAAATAAAGGTCCACTGACAACTAAAAAATATTAAAAGAGAAAAAGAGAGAGAAAAACAAATGCCAACAGAGATGGTGGCTAGGTACAGAATCTGGATGCAGAAGATTCAAGAGGAGTCAGAGTTATACATCTAAGGGAATGAATAGTGAAGACAGTTCTCAGAAGTAAGAACCAAATTAAAGGAAGGACCCAAGACTGAAATCTCAACAAAATCCACACACAGAGACTAATATGAAAAGAAAACTATCCAAGTCCAGAAGAAACATACATCTACTGAAAGGGTAAAAGCTGGAAAGCTTGAATGTAAAAGTTCCTCTGTTACACCCAGAACCCGAAATTCCTGAGATAGTTAAAACAACGCCCTACTGGCCATTTAGCCTAGGGCCCTGTGCAGTTTGTCACAGGGCCCGAACCAATCAGTTTGAATGTGTACCCTGCTTAGGAGTGACCAATCACCCCCGCCCGGCTTGTTCCCGCCAATGAATGTGCTAATCACGTCTCAGAGTTGTTCAATTTTCCC